TTCCAATGGCTTATCATGTTGAAACCAAAGTCTAATCATGTTAGAAGATATGTGATTCTATGTAAGTGCCAAAGTCATGCAAAATAAGTAAGAAATTGTGTAATGATGACTTTACAATGGACAAGTTATTATTAGAAAATCTTTTTGGAATGGTGATGATGTTATTATTAAAAAATCTTTTTGGAATGATATGATGATGACTTTAATTCCGTATTTCAGTGGAATTTTGTGACAAAAAAAAGAAAAAAATGTTAGTCTATAGGCAAGTGTTGGTAAAATGTTAGTAATGCATTTCCCATATTTCTTCCAAACAGCCAAACAGTAGCCATGTATTTATCAGGTTGCATCCAAATACTACCCAAATAGTAACAATCCATTTGCAGGTAATGTATTACGCCAGTAATATATTTCACATACAACATATTTCCAGGTATCCAAACGGCCCCTAATTGTATTGCTTGATTGCAATTATAATATCATACTAGTATAGTTTATTTTAAAAACATGTTTAAGCATGCACCCTATTTCTTGTGCAGCAATACGAGTATAACCCATCCTAAATCATAAACCTTAAACCCTAATCCCTAATTGTATTGCTTGTGTGAAACCATACCAGTATAGTCTATTTTAAGGGCCCGTATGGATGTAACAAGTTCATAGTCACTGAAATTTTTTTTAGTAATACTGATTGTAATGAGTTTGCAGTTCATGTAATCATTTCAAATATGTAGCATGATCCATGAGAAACCTTATATTACTACGATCAACATTAGTTTAAATTAAATCAACTTTATCAATTGAGTTTATTATATAAAATACTAAATATATGTTAATGAGTATACAGTCCATAAACTCATTTAAAAAATTTACCATAGTCCAGGGTAAATCTTACTACAATATTATTAGCATTAATTTATTTCCACTAAAGCTATGTACCCTGGTATAAAGAATTCTAGTATTTTTATTATTAAGATTTCATTAATTATGTCTTTCAATTCTCAAAAATATTATTTTTTATCATTTGTAGCATTTAATATAACTCCCATTAAACAATTATTAAATCAATTTCTAGATTTGTTAATTTCTAGGATTTCAAAATTTATATTTATTTAACTAAGTTGTCTTATCAATTTCTATGTATTTTTTAAAAATTACGGATTTTATATTATTTAATTGTGTATGATATTATTAATTGTATTTTTCATATATTAATTTTTATTGTCTAAGATGCATGTCGAAAAATTAAATAGAAAATTTTTTTTTTTATTCTTTTTTGAAACAAACTTTATGCCTTTCAAAATTTTAAAAAAAATATTTTCTTTCATATCTTGCATTTAATGCAAATCTCATCAAATAAATATTGAATCCATTTCTAGATTTTTTAATTATTACGGTTTTAAAATTTATATTTTTTGGCCAAGTGGTCTAAATCAATTTCTATGTATATTTTCAAAATTATGGATTTTTTATTATTTAATTATATATTGTTAATAATTGTACTTTTCATATAATAGTTTTTATTGTCCAAGGTGTCATGTCCAAAAATTGTATAGTAAAAAAACTAAAACGAATTATATCCTTTCATATCTTGCATTTAATGCAAATCCAATATTGAATCCATTTCTAGGTTTTTTTAATTATTACAATTTCAAAATTTATATTTTTTTAACAAAGTTGTCTTATAAATGTTTTTTTTCAAAATTACAGATTTTATTTTACTTAATTATGTATTTTTAATAATTGTACTTTTAATATAATATTTTTTTTGTCTAAGATGTCAAGTCCAAAAATTAAATAGTAAAAAAAAATCTTTTATTGTTTTTGAACAAACTGTCTTTCAAAACTAAAATATTTTATTGTCTTTCATATATTGCATTTAATGCAAATCCTATCAAATAAATATTGAATCCATTTCTAGATTTTTTAATTATTACGATTTTAAATTTTATAGTTTTTTAACAAAGTTGGCTTATCAATTTCTATGTATATTTTCAAAATTACGGATTTTTTTTATATTTAATTATGTATTGATAATATTTGTTCTTTGCATATAATATTTTTTAATGTCTAAGATGTCATGTTCCAAAATTATATAGTAAAAAAAATCTTTTATTGGTTTTTGAACAGTGTTTCAAAAAGCGCTAGGCGGGTCCTAGGCAGCTTGGGGGGTCTAGGCCACCCAGCGTTTAGGCAAGCGCCCAGAACTTGGGCGGCCCAGTTAAATTCAAAATAGATTCCGTAGTTATGTCAGTATCAGTTATATGTATTGCAGTACATAATTCAAATTATACTACATATTAGCATTTAGCACACACTCCATAAGCATAACCGTAATTGTTGGCTCTTTAATACAAAAAAAAAGACCAAAATTGCCCCCACCGAAACTTATATTTGCCACTGGGTGGGGCGCAGCCTAGGCGGGTTCTGTACCGCCCAGGTTCGACCGCCCAGATTGGACGCCTAGGCTTGGGCAATGAATCCAGGCCTTTCGGATCGCCTAGGAGTTGGGCGGTCCGCTTTTTGAATCACTGTTTTTGAACAAACTTTGTCTTTCAACAAAAACATGTTATTTTCTTGCATATCTTGCATTTAATGCATATGCCATCAATTAAATATTGAATCCATTTCTAGAGTTTTTAATTATTACGATTTCAAAATTTATATTTTTTTAAGTAAGTTAATCTTATCAATTTCTATGTATTTTTTGGAAATTACAGATTTTATATTATTTAATTATGTATTGTTAATAATTGTACTTATCATTTAATATTTTATATTAAGATGTCATGTCCTAAAATTTAATAATAAAAAATTGCTGGAATGATTTTTTTCTATGTTTTTTTGGATTATCAAGTTTTTCTTAGTTAAGGCTTAAAGCTCATGGCCTCATGCTCTAGTGTCCATGAATTTCCTTAAGGGCTATAGAAAGAGTAATAGACTCTTGTCATCAGAGAACTCTCAAGGCTCAACTCAGCATAACAGTGTATTGTCACCTGCATATTGTGCCCACTAATTCCATATATCAGCCTATAGCATCCCTCGAATTCCCTCCTTGAATCAATTGAAGGCCAAGTTCTATGTTTCCAAGCGAGTGGAAGTCTATCTCTGTCAGAAATTCAGCATAACAGTGTTGGTATTGGTTCATGACTTCATACTCTATTGCAGGCAAGGTCTGTCTTTGTGCAATTACATTCATGAGCTTTATTTTTTATTCATCATATGTTTGAGGTTAATGAAGTTGGTCTCTAAGTTCGTGGATCATAGAGGGCATTCTGTCATCCGAAGTTAGTACTTAGTTCTGTGATCCCAAAGTTCAACTATGTGTTTGGAACTTTGGATCACAGTTTTGTCTTGACAAATTGGGTTCATCACTCTCTTGGCGTAGTGTTGTTTTTTTTGTTTCCTTTAATCCTTTTGAATGCCTACATGTAATATGCACTAAGGCAACCAAGATGAAAGGCCCTAGTGGCTTAATAATAAATCTATTTTCAAGACCTTGCATTCTCGTTTTTTCTCACTTTTTTTGTGAGGGACTTTCTAGCAATAAAGTTCTTACATGTGTTGATCATTTTGATAATTCTAAGGGATGGATTGTTCGTACTTCTATTTTTAAAGGGTATGGTTTGTAGACTTTGTACAAGGTTGATGCCCTAAACAATTAAAGTGTGTGTGTTTATATATATATATACATGTAGTTCATATATATGAGATATCTCCCATGTCGCTCCCTGAGTGCTCCCACGATCTAAGGGTTGGGAACTTTAGCCAAGTGCCGATCCCAAGCACCCACACACGCACCCACACCCACACCCACACCCGCACTTGCACCCGCTCTCGCTCCCAACAACTATGAAATATATATTCTCACAACTAAGAGGGGTGGCTTACACAATAGGACTTAATAAAACAATGGGTCTCTCTAGACTATGTCTAGTTCAAATTACGAATCTAAAATAATGGAACTTCGTGCTATGCGAAAAAAGGGTTGGATTCTAACATCATGGAACCTATGATTCCTAAATAATAGGAACTCAATGGCAATTTCTGACCTATTAGCATCCGTTAATGAAATTAGAACCCGCAAACATAGAATCCAAGATTTTAATATGCCAAAACCTTGGACTATGGTTGATGGGAGAGGGGATCTATTTCGAAATGGAACTGGATTCCACTGATGGATGGAATGTGGTCCCCTTTTTTGGGAGTGAGATCCCAAAATCGAAAAAATGGGGTGCAAGATCCCTTGCCGAAACTGTGGGATCGAGGTTTCGAAGCGAGATCATCACTCTACCCACAAGGTTCCCTTAACTCAGAGAGAAAATTCAATTGAATGCAATGGAAAGTGACAACATTTATTAAAGCACCTATTGAGGTGCTTGAGCTCCTAGGAACGATAGGCAGGGATTGTGCAGGATAGATGCTTATTTGTGTCGGAACGTCTGTATTTGATGTGGCATAATAGTCACCTAAATAGAAATCACGTTGGATGCTGTAGTCATCCTTAGAGTACCCATATATTGTTTTATATTACCAGTTAGTAGAGATGTAAATGACAATGGCATAGCTACTTTATTCACTTACTCATATTCCATTATAACATATGGGAAAAGGAGAATTGCATCTAAAGATACACCAGTCAATCTAATTTCTCTTAGAGTTTGCAAGTTGTACTATTGATATTTTTGACCATTGTATGGTTGTCCCCCATGGAAAGGAACATAAGATGCAAGCATGTTTGTACCCTCTTCTGTGGGCCTTAATTATGAAATTGATTAAGGACTGAATGGATATGTGATATAGTTACTGCCATTCCCATTGTTTCATGTTTGTTTGATTATATTTTGTGTGCTTGATTGATCCTCAGTTGGTTAAAGTGTTAGTCTTTCTTGTTAGTCAAAGTGCTTGTCTTGCCTGTTATTACTTTTTTGCACTTCGATCTCATGACAATAAAATTAGTATGAACTCATTTCTGTTTTCTTGGTGTGCATCCATGGGATTAGGTTTCCTATTTATCATCGCGAGTTTTGTGCCACTCCCACATTGGGACTTTTGCTCGACATCACTCCTGGTTTTCGTCATCTGCATCACCTCAGACAAATCAGAAGGAGACCAGCCAGGTTGTAGATGAAACAACAACTTCTAAACACAATGATAAGACCTCTGAGAACATTTCTCATGATAAGAACGAAGCCGAGTCGACAAAGAAAGAAGGGAGCAATGGTGATGCTGCAGCACATGTTGGAGAGTCAGGTTCTCATGTTGAAACTGACCTTTCAAAGTCAGATTCTGGCAAGAAGAGGAGGAAAAGTACTAAACGAATTGCACTTTCTGATTCAGATGCTGAGGATGAATTATCTGTTGATGATCTGGTTAAACTAGTAGCTGAAAAGGAGGAGTTACTGAAGGAAAAACAAAAGGAAATTGAAAAGATGCAAGAAAAAGTTCTTCGTAGCTATGCAGAGATGGAGAATATTATTGAAAGGACAAAGCGTGACTCAGAGAATTCAAAAACGTTTGCTATTCAGGTTAGCATTCTTGAAGCGTGGGATCCCAATTTTCATGCATTTTCTTTATGCAAGTGTTTGGAATAGTCAAAGTAGGCTGAATGGGCAATATATGGCATTCATGCTGCAAGTGTTTGTTTTAGCAATATATGCTGAGTGGACAGTATGTGTTAGTTTTTTCCCCTAATGTTCTACTTGAAATGGGCTGTAGAACTTTGCAAAGGGCTTGTTAGATGTTGCAGACAACTTGGGGAGAGCATCCTCAGTTGTTAAAGTTGACTTCTCAAAGATTGATCAGTCTAAGGACTCTGTTGGTGCTGTGGCACTACTTAAAACCCTTCTAGAAGGAGTTGAGATGACTGAGAAGCAACTTTCAGAGGTAATTTGTATTTTGATTTATGCAATACTCATGGTAATGCTTCTTTTTCTCCCATCTATGTAGTGAAAGGAAATGGCTAGCCTACAGTGTGTAAATTCCAATACTTCAGTTTTGGACTAGGTTACTTTGGCCTTCATTAAAGATTATCAATATTGATGGGAGACTCTTATAGGAAAGTTGCTCAATAAAATCATTGGTATAAAACCTCTCTCTCTCTCTCTCTCTCTCTCTATATATATATATATATATATATATCTTGTTTAGTTTTTAGGTTTTTAGGGTTTAGGGGTTAGGGGGTAGGGGTTAGGGTTAGTACGTACGTACTACGTAAGTTAATTAATTACTTACTTACTTAACTTTTAACTTTTA